CTGAGTCAGGCTGGCCTTCTGTTCAGAGCTACAGCTAGTATTAGTTGTAGGGAAGATATCGGGCTTACGAAACTGCCTCCTGGCAGCACCCTATACCGCAAGGTAGCCGAAAGGCGGGGTATTCTTCCTTCTTCCTAATTGGAAAATACTTTCTTGCAGTCAAGTGGAATGAATATTATTAATTAATTAAATGCTGATCAAAAGTTTTATTTATGCTTGTTTTTACTTTTCGTTTTCGTTTCAATGTCTTGTTTAGAGTAAACTGGGACAATTGGAAACGATTTTTGGCTCTTTGGACTTCTAATTCGTATAACTTTGTTAATTTTAATTATATTTTTGCGCTCTTTTTACAGGTAGGTGGAGGAGGAAGTTCTCTATAAACCCGTCTAAAAATTTTCAAAAAGCTTCGTGTTCCAAGCGAACTTCCCGGTGTTTTGCTGAAGGCTCTAACGAACATTTCCAATTATCCCACTTGGGGCAATTGGAAGCAGCAATAGAAATTGATGGGGTAATTGGATACGCCATGTATTTTACACGGGAAATAATTCATCAGTAAAAAATAGTTTTCTCGTTAAGCTAATCGTACTAATTAATGATTTTTGCACAGGTAAATAGACCAATTACTGCTCTACAGATGGTGAGAATCTCCCAGCTCTATTCATTAATTAGCCTCAGCTCTAATTAAAAAGGTAAATGCTGAGAAATTTTCAAATGTTTCCGATTACCCCATTTGAGGTAATTGGAAACGTACGTGAAACTTAGTGGGGTAAATGGAAACGACCATGTAAAATAGCTGAAAAACTAGGAATCTCTTGGAAATCAGTTTCTAATCGAAGTACACCGCTCACAAAAATATTTGCGCCTATAAAAAGATGCAGAATATTCCTCTACAATCGCAGAGAAACTCTCACTCGTTTCATTCAGAGATAACGAAATTCTACATTGAACAAAATTATTATTTAGTTATTCACAGTGAGTCCTTGATCATTTTCTCACATATTTGTAGGACGAGTAGGATATAGCGATTAACTATGTAGTCAGGATTATTTTATCTAATATCTATATTATGAGTAACAAAATAAGTTGAGCTCGAGACTTTAGTACACATAAAATGTAGAAAACTAAGAGATAAGGAGATTTCTGTTATATCTAGGCTATAACAAATGTTAAAGAAGTACAAGATACAGAAAACTGTTCAAAATGTGTGAACAAAAACTGGTTGACACAGTTTAATACTGTTGATAATTGTCCCAAAACGTCTGTTGAACGATATTGTTATTTTGCCACGATTGACAAATGTGATATCTATCTTGTATTCCTTCGGAACAGCTTCAACATAGAACGGTATTACATTGGATACAGTTCCCAGTGAGATCCATTGGTTGAATCGTTCTATGACATTGCTGACACTGTTGTCTGGTCGTTGTTGTCGCATTTTGTAATGACTGTAATACTTGGAGTATCGGGTAACTCGATGTTACTGTTGAGAAATCGTTGGATGGTTGTGAGTTTGATGATATTGGAGGCGTCAATTGTAATCGATTATGAGTAGGCGGCGCATCAACGTCATTGAAATGATCACTAACAAGAGTATCTAATGTGTTTGTTGACGGTTTTTGTTTACGTAGTTTTGAGGCTGTCTTGTTCATTGTTGTTCCCGTTTTATTCTCTTTCGCTGCTTTCTTCTTTCTGATGACTGATAGAGCGTATTCATCTACATCTGTTACAATTGCACCGTGCGGTCGAGATAGCAAATGTTTCTTTGCTCTTGCTGTTTCTTTCGGCTGACCGAAATGTTTTTCTACGATTTTGATAGTTGTGAGTGATTCATTCAGATCTAAAAGGAGATGTGAGATATGTCATTAGTTATTTCAGACTGATTGAAACTTTGAGCACTACCTGCCGATGATGTAGATGGTTTTGGTGGTGGAGTTGTATCCAAAACCGAAGATGACAAAGTTAAATGAGTAGCAGTTGGAAAATTGAATGTGATTGACGATTGAGCGCGATTTAATGAACTCGTTGTCGTTGTTCTAGGGGAAGCTTCATCTTGAATATGTTCACCACTGTCTATAAATGAAAAATAACCACTGAGAAGAAAAACTTCCAGAGGTAATTGTTAGCTTACTCGAAAATAAATTTGGATCTGATGGATATTTGACTAATTTCTTTCGTTGTGGCGCTGTTATTGTTATTGCCGACGGCTGATTATCTGGATAAAACGAATTATCAAATTCAACTGATACTGAACGGGATAATTTTTTTGATACCGTTGTTGATCCATTTTTTATTAATCTTTCTTTCCGAATAACACGGGGATCATATGGGTGGATACCTGCTTTAGCAAACGCTGAAGAACAATGAGCCGGCAATAGAGCATAATCGTACAATTTTGCAAAATCCGATTTATCCAGTGATTTTGCCCGTGTTGACTTGTTGTGTTCTCACAATAATTGTCTCCACTGCGTTTTCACGTATTTAAAGGTATACACGTCTAATGGTTGCAAGATGTGTGTGGCATGAGATGGGAGGCATAACAGATGAATATCATGTTCTATTGCCAGCAGTTTTGATCGACAAATGAGATCAGTGGCCATCGAAAATCAAGAGTGTTGGTCGTTGGAGATCCTTTGTATCTGGACAAATAATTTCAATAAATATTGATAGAACAGTGCGCGTCTATCCACTCCGATTTTGTACCATTAAAAACCGCTCCTCGAATGACATTCTTTGGACACCAGTTATCATACAAATTTAATGCTTTATAGATAATGTACGGTGGTAAACATTTGCCATCAGCACTAATTGTTAGCAGAACCGTTGTATATGATTTCCCTGTACCACCATGTACTAGATTTGCATATTTTGTGTCATGTTTAACTAATACTCTCTGTTTACTAGGGTCATCAGTGAAATTAAATGCCTGCTGTTCGAGAAGTACAACAGATAGAGAGATCGGCCTTATGCAGAATTGTAGAAGGCACTTTGGGCTAGCTAGCCACCATGTTATAATCAAAAATCCGCTAAAGGTTCAGAATCTAGCAACCTCAGCGCTTTTCATCTTTCGGGTACACCAGCTGAAAAAACTTTTTTAACCAGATTTTTCGTACAAAATATATGTGCATCGAAACGGCGTTGTTCGAGAACTAGAATCAGATTTTCGATGTTTGGAGGAAAATTATCAGGAAAAACCTTTTTCAGTGAACATTTCTGGTTGATGTGGTATACGACTGTCGCTAATGACTAATGTCCGAATACAGTGTTTTATTCTCAGGATTATGTCGTTACAGTTTTAGTCAAACTCTTTGGGCGAAATGGCAGACAAACCGATTGATCGTGTATACTCTGCGATCGTCCGATTTAGTCGATAGTTGAGCCCATTGAAAGGAATTAAAACATCGATTGATGCTAGGTAACATAGTACCAAGAGCAGTATCTCATCGGGGAAACATTCAATGATTGATAGCATTATTGTTCAAACACAAATAATTTTGATCAAGCCATAAAGAAAACAAGCACATAGATTTAGAAATTAGCTATGATTGCTTCCGATGGACAGAATGGACACCAAATGCTTCTGTTGTATCCACATGCATAATTATTAGTAATAGCTGTCGTAATCGACATCACTGAAGCATGTCGACGTATGCGTCGAGTATGCGTACTAGCAAGTATTTTTCCTTGACTTCAGTCACGACTGACTCATCGCAAAGATTCACGAGCAAACGTCACTAATTGGTTTTATCCAGTCGAGCGGATGACTCGACTTATATTATTACTTATTTAATAAAGTACTTTTTCATTATTCATTAACTTCCAGTGAAATTTTTTTTCGAACATATTATACACCATTAGATAGAGCTCTTTGAGCTGATCACAAATATGTGGTTTTTATTTTTCGAAACGTTTGTTTCCTATCGAGAAACTATTTAAGATGATTAGTAGTGAGCCTCTCTACTTACACTGAGACTCTAATATAACAATATCCAACCACATAATATTTTACATTGACAGTTCCGAACATCAACTGAGCTTGAGAGTTTAGAATTTCAATCGACGAGATACCGTTGACAGGACAAAACCGTTGCCGTTCCCGTTGAAATTTTTGCCAAATCAACGTGAAGCCTAATTGAGACTCATTTCAAAGCAGATGATCGGTTTTCTGCAATAGTGCTTTTTCCAACGACCATATTTCCAGTGAAATGGGGCTATTAGAAATATGAATGTATCAGAAAGTTAGCTCAATATTTTACATTGAGCTTTGTATGGATTCTGACGTTTAGCTACAAAATAAGATGTCTTCCAGCTTTTCACGATGTTTTCTGTAAATTCTATAAATGGTAAGGTACAGCTAATGCAAACTTGCAGTAAACTTTTTTTTCGAACATAGTATACACCATTGGATAGAGCTCTCCGAAGTTTTTAATTTTTCGAAATGTTTGTTTCATGTCGAAAAATCGGGAGAAACTCGAGTGATCCCAAATCTCGAAAAAACGATGATGTTAAAAAAAGTTCGATTTTTCTACCTGGGTTTTTGGCTGGAACGTTCAAATTATTTTTTCATTGTGAACTGAATTAGCCCCGTTTCACTGGAAATTGGGTTAGGGCCGTTGGAAAAAGCACACTATAACAGAAAATCCATCATATACTTTGAAATGGGACTCGATTAGGGTTATAGCCGTTCGCGTTGATTTAACAAAAATTTCAACCGAAACGGCAATGGTTTTGTCCTGTCAACAGTATCTCATCGACTGAAGTTCTAAACTCTCAACTGCATCTCCTCAGCTGATGTTCGGAACTGTCAACGTAAAATATTATGTGGTTAGCTATTGTTATATTAGAGTTCAGTATAAATAGACAGACTCACCACTAATCATCGTACATAGCTTCTCAGGAGGAAAGATAATCGTAGAAAAGCGGCAAAAACGGAAAAAATAAGTAAATTTCATAAACATTTTTGGTAGATAAGAGACCTTCATCCAAATCATACTTTCCATTAGAAAATAAAGATATCACTAGTTTAAGAATCTTATATCAGCGGATTTTGACTGATAAACTACGGCTAATAGTTCAAAACGTCAACTGATGAATTACTGTTGATAGTTCAAATCGAAAATCGCTAGGCTACACCCCGAGTCTCGATCAAGTTTTGAAGAGCACACTCTTAGCTACAAAATGAGACATCTCTCGACTCTCCATGGTCTCTCATTCAAATATTATAAGATCAACAAAGGCAACAAAAAGCAACGCACAACCGCGTTACACGGAATGGTCATATACACAACACGAAAGAAAGATGGCCTCTCAACCAGAAGCAAAAGAACAGAAAATAGATGATATATGCTGGCAAACGAAGAGTTACAGTCATCAATTTATTCATGCTAGTTGACTGATCTCTGACATGAATTAGGGATGTTACAAATAAGATGACTTATTAACAAAGTCGCTTTAACGTTCTTTCACCTTTTCAGACGACGTCATAGAC